TATATATGTTCTTTTGAATTATGGCTTGATTAGGAGGGTATTTTGTATTGGTTACCATATTATCTCAAGGTTGTGTTGTTAACTCTATTCTGCGGTTAAACACGTATTGATCAGCAGTTTCATATGTTTATAACGTGTATGCTTACACAAATATTGCCGATGTGACTGTAAATCTGAACTCATCCACTCCTTTTACTGTATCTGTATCATTTATCTGGTTTTTAGTTTTACTGGTTTTATACTTTTTCACTTTGTGCATCATGAAAGCATAACATGTTCAGTCACGATAAGAATGAAAAGCTGGCGATGTGACAAAAACAATTAACTCACTCACAACGGTCTGAGTCCTGCCAATCATCCACATCAGTCGCTCTTATCTACCTTTTGTTTTTTTCGTTTTCGATGCATGTTGATGTTAGATCACTTTACTCGTCTGTGTTTGAGTGTCTCTCCATTGTGCACTATGGATAATGGTTCTCATCACCCCATCACAAACAATACGATCCAGAGAGGATTCCGTTGGTTATACATTACGCAATGTTAACCATCTTTACTTTACAAAGAGCTATAGATCGTGTCTTATGGATTATTTCTTTCTTATTAACTGTTAGTTCGAACTTTCCTCATTTGTCGCCTCTATCTGATTGAAAGTTTGGGACATTTATCGATTCGCTATCTGCTGAAAGAACAGAAAAAAGGGAGAACATCTTTTTTATTTTACTACATCATCTTTCGATTGCCTATACTTCTTAACGGTCAATGTGACATCTTTACACAGAAGGTAGTTTGTTGTACAATTGTAGTCACATCGGCAAGACCCGTGAACATCCGGGGTAGAATAGGTGTTCAGCAAACCATGCTTGCCACAAAAGGCGACTATGCTTGTCGTAAGAGGCGACTAACGGGATCGGGTGGTCAGGCTCGCTGACTTGGTTGACACATGTCATCGGTTCCCAATTGCGCAAATCGATGCTCATGCTGTTGATCACTGGATTGTCTGGTCCAGACTCGATTATGTAGAGACCGCCGCCATATAGCTGGAATATTGCTGAGTGCGGCGTAAAACTAAACTCACTCACTCACTCAGTTGTTGGCGAGTTTTAGCCCATTGTCATGTTGTAGTGTTTGGCGAGTTTTCTGAGATAGTCTTGCTCCATTGTCATGTTGTCAATTTCTCGTCACGTTTGACGGTAGAATGCTTTGACGTTTATATGCTTCTTAATCTGAGATAGTCTGGGCTAGTACAAGCAGCAGCACATACACATACACACACATACACGTCGTCATATGAGCGAAATATTCTCAAGCACGACGTTGAACCAAATTTCACCTCACCTCACCTCACAGATGACCCGTGAAGGTTCGGGTTAGAATTGATCTTCAGCAACCCATGCTTGTCGTAAGAGGCGACCAAAGGGATTGGGTTGTCAGGTGCGCTGACATGGTTGACACGTGTCGCCGTTTTCCATTTGCATAGATCGATGCTCATGTTGTTGATCCCTGGATTGTCTGGTCCAGACGCGATTATTTACAGACCGCCGCCATATAGCTGGAATATTGCTGAGTGCGGCGTAAAACTAAACTCACTCACTCATGACACAGATGAGAAGTCGAAACTTTTAATTAGAAGTATACTATTACACAGTCCGCAAGAATGATCAGAGCTGGTCCAAAAGATCTACCGAACACATTACGTCATATGACCAATGTTTCTTAATGTTTTTTACTTTGGAACAGACATCCACACACATACTGAGTGGATATTCGGCTATATCACTCAATATTTCGAACATAAAATATCACATTGCTTCATTCATATAAGAAGCTCCGATCCGTTAAATGTGATCCCTCTTGTCTTCGAATAAATATTCAAACAGAGAATCCATAAAACCGTATTTCCAGCATCCTGTTCTATCGGGAATTGTAGCAATATAATAGTACAAAAATCTGCGGTAAAATTGGTTTCATGTTAATTACTTGTTAAATTGAGTTACATTTGATGTAAAGATACAATCAACTTGTATCGATAAAGTGTATGGAAACTTGAAAAGCACTAAGAAATAAACAAACATTATAGCTTGTTTAGTTTGCTTCAAGACCACACATTACACTCGAAGAAATATTGGTGTTTCTGTTTGGATTTTGTTTTCAACAATCAATAACCACACACTTCTTAATATTAGCAAGATCAAAGTTATTAGCAATGCATCAAATGACCTCGGAACTGTTTTCGAATGGTAACTTTGGATAGATTCGACATGAAACCACATTCGGTATGGCCTCCACTCTGAATCAGGTATGTAACTACATTCTACTTTGCCTCAAAGAATAAAACTTCAGCATGCCCTCCTGGATGAATAGCATATGATGCCAAATTCAACATGGCTGCCAGTAGAAACATTGCCTGAAAGCATGCGCTATATTCTCATCCCAGCAATCTAGAATAGTGTATTTGCGACATTCAGCAATGGGTGTGTAGTGTTCTTACATGGATTCTGTATTACGCTTTCTTTGAAAAGACCGACATATAAGGAACTGAAAGAGTGTATTAGACGTGTATGTAATATGTTAGCTCTCCAGTTGTAGTTAGATGTAAGAATGTGGAGCTAAAATAGTTGCTTTAATCAAATGTATGACACTTTCCACACATTGCTGGAATATTACTAAAAGCGGCGTAAAACTCACTCACTCACTGTATGACACTTGCTTGAGTAAATTTCAAAGATGGAAACTACCATTCGCAAACTCAGTCAGTCTGCTGACCACAGTAGACCATAGTCGTAGTCAAAAGGCAAGATAAATAGCTGAACAACACCTATGGATATGCACCACTGATTGTCTTCACTCAGGAACTGAACAATATCGTTAATAAAGGATGAGAACAGAAACGGCGAGAGCTGGCATCCCTGACGAACCCCATATGCACAATAAAAAAGTCTGTATATCCACCACCAAGAGAGACACAAGCTTTAACATGTGTATACATATTACTTATTAACCTGTGCATTCGAACTTTAATGCTGCCAACCTAAAGCTTATATAGCAGACCTGTACGTGAGACAGAATCAAAAGCAGACTAGAAATCGATGAATGCGCAATATACTACCCCGATATAGCGACAAGTACTTTGTTATGACAGCATTAATTATTAATAATATATTTCTGTGAGCTGAAAGGTACTTGTATTTCCTTTGAAAATCCCTTTGACAGTATACAACAATCGATGGCGTGATTGTAAGTGCCAAGTGCACGCCCCCACTTTCGAGCACAGCGATGGCGTAAATCCTGCTAGGATTCTAGAGGAAAGCATAAGTACCATAAGTTGTCATATTTCCCAGCAAAGTGGTCTTGCTTCGCTTGCTAGTGGTTTATAATTTATACTACCTAATGTGCTGTAAAACGATTAATTTTACATTGGCCCATGCCAGCGAAACAAACGCACGTTTCCCGTTCATGAAGTTCTGAAAACGGCATGGTTTCTGGGATGAACTATCGTGACTGCGTCATATTAACGTATTCTCCTGCCTATGATACCAGAAAGGGAACCCTACCTCCTCGATAAGATAACTTCTGTTACAATAAAATCAAAAACCATTCTAGAGCGAGAAGAATATCGAATACGTCAGGGGAACATCTCCTTCCCTACCACGAGCAGTACTATAAGGTCGACGTCAATATTGTTTTATCGTTGTTTAACACCGCATTTAATAATATTCCAGCTATATGACGGCAGTATGTAAATATCGACTTAGGATCAGACAATCCTGTAATTAACGTCATGCTCATCGATCTACACAGTTGGGATAGGATGGCATGCACCAATCAACCGTCACACGCTTCTACGCAAAGGTTGCTGAAGACTTAACCGGATCTTCACAGCCACGTCAACATGATTTTAGATTCTGAAGTCCAGGAAATACATGTTGATAACATCAGCTAGTTCTCTCTGCCAGAAACATACACATCATCTGCATTTGTCGAGATGTGGCGAGAAGGGTTCTTTCATTAATGTGTTTTTGTGCGTTGAAAAAGCCTGTGAGAATCGTGTATTTACCAAGTAGATCTAATCAGCCATCACATTGGCCATATTGACGCCTGCCAATCCATATTGAAGTTTTGTGCACGTGATTGATGCATGAAGCAGTGCACCATGTCGACATTCGCGAACCTTATCAATATGTTTCTGCATACGAGTGCCGTTTTCACAATCGATTGTCTTTTTATACGAACTTTATGTCACTGTTTATTGAGGTATACATTTATAAAACATCAAAAATTACAGTATGGAATTGTTTTAGAAAATATTGTATAGATTAAATTCCTTGCCTCGGTCTTCAGCACCCCAAGGCGACTAAAGGCATTGGGTTGTCATGTGCGCTGACATGGTTGACACGTGTCACCGTATCCCATTTGCACAGATCGATGCTCATGGTGTTGATCACTGGATTGTCTGGTCCAGACTCCATTATTTACAGACCGACGCTATAGAGCTGGACTATTGCCGAGTGTGACGTTAAACAAACAACCTCGGGTGGTATTGAATGCTGTCTGAGTTCACATTACCTTGACCCCACATTGTCGTTGTATGTGTTACAGGGTTATTGTCGGGATGACTGTGTTTGGCACTTAATGACTTGTTTAACAGGTGACGTGAGGTGTAGTACTGTGACCGGTCGCCGGTGTACCCGGTCTTTGTGGACTGACCAGTCAAAATGGTTCAGAGTGGTCACCTTCTGTAGTTTGAACAGAACCCCGCAATGCTGAACATTGTTCTTCCGTGTCATATGAAAGGCGTTTTCTGAAACATCACATATGTTTTATTTATTTATTTCGTTATTGTTTAACGCCTTACTCAGCAATATTCCAGCTATATGATGGCTCAACACAAATGCTTTTGGGTCGTTCTACCAAACATTACATAGTATTACCATAATATATCAAAACACGTAGCAGACAGACTTGCTATCCATTGACCATTATTACAGATATTTATTATTCACGACATTTAATCTAACATCCATTCTCAGTATAGTGCACATTCTAGTACCTATGGCGTCGACTATGAGGACTCTATCAGAGTCAGACACCTTATCGCTAACCAACACAGCCTCACATATATGGAAGTCGGACTACTGGTAACGGTTGACTGAAAGAAGAAGAAGATGACAGGATATGAGTCCATGCAGAAACAATGCGAACATAGTTCGTACAAATCAGACCATTAACGGAAAGGGAATTTAAAATTCTGAAATGTCTGATAATTCCCCAAAACGAATACAGGGACACGTTGTTTCTTATAATTTAAACGTCATTTCATCAACCCAGCATCACAAGATGTTTTTACAAGGTAAGTGGAACATACTTACGCTACTTTTGAACAAACTATATGAACGTAGTTGAGGTTCATATTCCAAAATAAATTCTTATATTACTCAGCGGATACTGTTTGGCTTCTTCCTGTCGAATAACCCGACCCATTAGATGGAAAACGTCGATACCGGATCATTGCAATGCGTCTGGCTAAATTGGGAAACTTTGGACTCGTCTATTACAGTAGTAGTTGTTGCCCAATCAACGCCAGCATCGGAGAGAACATATTTGCAAGTTTATCTGTCTGATGGAAAAGTACTTGTCCTGTACTTGTCCAGAATAAAATTCAGCACATGGGTTTTGTTTGTTGTTTGTTTCAGTTTAAATATTGTATGAACATGATTGGTTTCTTTTCTTTGGAATCAGTTTGAAGGGTTGTGTTCTGTTTTACTCTTTTAATGAGGAATGGCTTTGACTCTCCCGCGATGATTACAATACATGTATGCGCTAAAGGAGGCTGAATACCATTTGAAAACTATCGTAGGATATCTGGTCACTATGTTTTCTATTGGAGGTAATCGATACGAAATAAAATAGCCCAACAAAACTAACATCAACAAACTTTGTTTTATTACCATTCCGTTCGGGCCATTGTCAGCAGTGTCAGTAATATGTCTACTGATGATGTTGACGTTTTTCAACAGTTCTGTTGGTGGATCCCAAAACCAAATGAATACAAACAAACACCAAAGAATATTTTTGTATGGCTTGAATATTGCCAGAAGCACTTGAAACCGTCCAAGCTCTACTTTTGAAGATTTATTAAAACTGCACGTACTATGTTACATGCATATGTTAAATTTCAATGAACCAATCAATTTTCGCAACGTCATTGACTGTGCTGTGATCTCCGGCGGATCGAATGTTATATCTGTACATTTTGTAGGTGCCCTCAGTCGTTATGATGGATGATACCACGCGACATGTGTCCGAAAAACTAAAGCTGTTCCCCGATCCTGACACCAAGTCTGCATTGTGGATAATATTCACTGCTATGTGGTCAGTGCTTGAAACATCGACAGTGTCCACCTCCAAAGCCCTGTACAATCCATTTGTGTGAAGCACGCCCACTCGGAGTGATCTCCCTTCATTGACCTTGATTAACAATGTTGACAATGACCCGGACAACACAGCCCCGGTTCCGTCTATGGTCAAAGCCTTATCATACTGTCTGGAGTCCAGGAACCAAATAGAAGCTGTTTCATTCTCTGTTATATCCTCCACGATAACGGATTCTGGAACGTGAGTGCACTGAACCACGCGACCAGTCGTAGACGCCATCATCCAAGCTTGAAGCGACCCGGATGAGAAGGCATCTTTATCAGCTGGAAGCCAGAATTCTTTGACACCTACAGTCACGTGACCATCATGTAGAATAATTTCCCTTGCCTTTGCAACCAGGTTTTCAGCTTTAAGCATGATGTTGTGTCCATAGTGTACCCCATTGATTAGATGGCGAATGTATTTGCCCTTGTTTGTAGGTGAGGTCCTTGTGTCAAAGACATGGTGCCAACACGTGTCGGGACACCATGTCATGGAACTGGAGCCGGGTGACATGTTGACAAATGCCCCTGCAAACTTCCACCTGATGACCTGTGACGTTCCCAACGTACTTTTTTTACTTATATACCAGTAAGGAGATGCTTTGAATGTAGGCAGGAAAGATTGTGACACATGACCGGATACCTGTCCATACACAGAATTGTTGCTACCATCTACGTGGTAGGTATCAAAACTGGTGCCGATTCCCCCTTCAAACAGACTGGTCAGTACAGATCCTAAGTCACTGGCATGGGATGTGGACATGCACTGGTCGTCTTTCACAAACCAAATGAAATTTCCGTCATAACTGCTCGTCGTCGCTGCCCCAGTGTCATCCACTGACATATGGGTGCTCAGCGCATCCGATACAAACAGCTCGAACCCACGTTGAGGGGATGTTTTGAAGGAATCCCAGGACGATTTAGCCAACCCTCTTACCGACTGGCCCCAAATCCGTACACCGCTTTTGACGCCATTTGAATGAAGGTCTGTGACCCTGCTCCAAGTGCTAAAGTCAGTTTTAACGCGGAGATTAGGTTTACAGGTAGCGGAAATTCGATTCTTTAAGTCATCTCTCTGGTCAATCGGCGTAGTTGCTGCTGTTGTAATGGCCACCTGCTGCCACGTACTGTGAGACGACGCTGTAACATTCACAACACGCACATTAGGTAAGTAAAACTACACAGTTTTCTAGTTGCATTAGTATAATGAAGGAGTACGTAAGTCCCAAAACTTTCAAGGTAAAATATAAATTATCACATTTTATACGTAGTATTTTTGTTATTTTAACTGTTGGCTAAATTTTCCTACAATCGCCAGCGAAGGGATGGTGTCAATCCAGCTAGGATCCATGCAAGTAGCAAAAGTAATGTAAGTCCCCATGGCTCCTAGTATGGTGATCTACCTTCAGTTGTTGGCGATCTATAGCCCATTTTTATATTGTGTTGTCCCCTATAGTTAAAACGTTTTAGATTTAACTACTAGTTTTACATACATATCTGTGATATTCTAGTTGTTTTACTGTCCTTCGTCGGCAGGTTTTCTATAATATACATATTTCATTTCAATATCAAATGTTCTCGTCACGATATAGCTGAAATATTGCCGATGTGACTTGAAACGATACCGTCTAGATTCCAATTTATTAACTGTGGTCCTAATCGGAACTCTGTGTGCATATATATTTCGACATTATTAATATGCCTTATGTCATATCACCTCAGTTAAGGTGACCCGTGAAGGTTCGGGTTAGAATATTGATCTTTAGTATCCCATGCTTGTCGTAAGAGGCGACTAACTGAATCGGGTGGTCAGGCTCGCATCTTGGTTGACACATGTCATCGGTTCCAATTGCGTAGATCGATGCTCATGCTGCTGATCACTGGATTGTCTGGTCCAGACTCGATTATTTACAGACCGCCGCCATATAGCAATATTGTTGAGTGCTGCGTAAAACTAAACTCACTCACTCAGTTAAGGATGCATTGTCGTGTATCACCATAAAACTTCATATGATAGTGGTGCAGTGGCATTCGTGTCGATACATCGTTTAAACCCAAATATTCTGTATGAAATGGAATCACTCACCGTTACAAACCAAGTCTGTTTGTGACCAAGTTCCATTAGGCAAACACATTGATGTTCCATTCCCTGATGAAGCATACCCTTTAACGCAGAGATAGTTGGCTTCTGCACTAAACGTCGTACTGGTGTAGTCGACCATGGAGCCGTCCTGGTATTGCGGGAAGCCACAGTCTACAACTGAGCGATCACAACAGACAATGAATGCCCTATACGTCTGCAGAATGTACCTTTCTTTCATAATTTATTCTCAGGATTTATCACACAAACAATTGTTCGTTGGACGTGAGCGATGTCCTCCGTTTTATGTGTCGTGATACAGTGAAGTGAAAAAGTGTACTCTTTAAGCAGCGACAGAAAATGTACATACACATGAAGGCAATGTACTGTCCGTGTGGTGAAAGACTCTGAAAGTTCAGAATCGAATTCTACCAACGTTTATAACTAAAAGGCTTTACACAAAGGGTTATGGTCTTCTTGTGTTAGACTGACCACCAACGCATCCTCAGAAGGTGAGTGGGGCGGTGGGGTAGCCTAGTGGTTAAAACGCTGGCTCATCACGCCGAAGACCCGGGTTCGAATCCCCACATTGGCACAGTGTGTGAAGCCCATTTTTGGTGTCCCCCGCCGTGATGTTGCTCGAATATTGCCAAAAGCGGCGTAAAACCAAACGCAGTCAGTCAGTCAGTCAGAAGGTGAGGGGGCGGTGGGGTAGCCTATTGGTTAAAGTGTTGGCTCATCCCGCCAAAGACCCAGGTTCGAATCCCCACATGGGCACAATGTGTGAAGCTCATTTCTGGTGTCCCCCGCCATGATGTTGCTCGAATATTGCTAAAAGCGGCGTAAAACCAAACTCAGTCAGTCAGTCAGAAGGTGAGGTGCGTGCGGCTACACCATGCATGACAGCGTACAATTAACGTCATGAGAATCCAGCCGTTACTATTTTCGACCAAATACATAATTGTATTCATTCCTCAATTCATGGATTTCTTTCGTATCATTCCGGACAGTAGATATATATGTTCCATAATGAAAGCACTCATGCTCATAGCAAGGATCTGGTATTTGGTATTGTTAGCAAATTAATGTAATTGATCATTCATATTCAAATTAACATAACACCGTTGAGGAACAGTAAGAGTTTTCAAAGGGTAGAACTCAGTTAACATAATCAGCGAACATTTATGTTGAGTTGCCTGTACATCAGTGTGTAGCTATTTCTTACATAGTCATCTGATGGACAATCTATCAGAAAAATGAAACTCATCTTCCATTCACCAACAGACCAATAAGACTGCAATGTCAGATGAAAAACGAAAGTAGGCGTCACAGAGGATTGGGGTGGAAAACTGAATCCAACAATTTGGCGGAATGTCTTTCAGATATTCTTTGATAGTTCATGAGAAGCATATTTTCCCCGTGAAATATGACGCCCGTGAAGATCCGGGTTAGAATCGGTCTTCTGCAACCCATGCTTGTCGTAAGAGGCGACTAACGGGATATCGTGGTCAGGCTCGCTGGCGCAGATCGAGGATCAAGCTATTGGTCACTTGACCGTGTGGGTCAGACTCAATTATTTACAGACCCCCGTCATATAACTGGAATATTGATGAGTGCGGCGTTAAACAAGAAACAAACGTGCGGGAAATATGAGGAACTCAATGTCATACCTGTCTTTGTGACCAAACCTAAAGCTTCAAGCCGATCAACATAATACCGATCAATAATAAGTCGCTACCCAGTTTGTCATGTAATCCAGATCACACCCACTACCAGTGCAGGTTCCTCCGCCGCTATGGGCAGCAACGCATTCACAAATGCTAACAATCCTCAGTCATATATTAGGTGTGACGCCATGTATTCTACTGGACCAAGGGGCGGTGGGGTAGCCCAGTGGTTAAAGCGAAAGCCCGGGTTGGATTCCCGACATGGCTACAATGTGTGAAGCCCATTTCTGGTGTCCCCCGCCGTGATATTGCTGGAATATTGCTAAAAGCGGCGTAAAACCCAACCCTGAGCAGTCATCACGTTAGTGTCTTCTTCCAGGTGTGACAAGCAGACAAGACACGTGACTTTAAAAAAAACAATAACACAAAGCGCGTATATGAGGAGAGCTCTCTATTCTGGAATATCATAACAGGTCAGATTGCCGTTGGTCCATGTGACATTGCTTTTGTACATGTTCTCAGTGGCAATATATTTGGGCGCCATTTTGTTATTCCTGCATACGTACTGAGGCCATGCAGTTTGTCAACCAACCAGATAACCTTTACGACCCATTTGTAAGTTTTGTCAATCTGATTCATAGTGCACTTAATCTCTTACCCTAGAGGGCACTGGGTGGTACGTTTTAGTGGTGTGTGCTTAACACGTTCCTAAGCTAATGTTTTAGGTTTATAAGTGAACTTACTTGTACAGTTCAAGTCAATGGTTGACCATGTAGAGTTATCAGTGCACGTGCTGATCCTTGACCCTCCGTAATCGTCATAACCTTCTCTACAAATGTAAGTCGCGGTAGAGTTGTAAGAGGAGGACGTCACCGTCACATTTCGTTCCACCCAAGTTGGCGGCATGCCGCAATCAATCTCTGAAAAGGTAACAAGATTGATATTTACTACGCTGCCATATAGCTTGAATATTGCTGAGTAGGGCGTAAATCTAAACTCACTCACTCACTGATATTTACTGCAGTAAGAGAGTTACTCAGAGAGTCCAGCAATTGGACGTCCGACCACTTTGACTCAGCCTTTGGCAGTGTGCTTCTGTTTACACTTGTGCATTATTCTTACTGTTTAAAGGACAGCTGCGCTATTTTAAAAACTATTTATTATACTTTACCGTCATTCAAAATACAGAAATTCAACATAGCTCTGCCTACTAAAATAATTGTCCAATGCATTTATTTATTTATTTAACAAAATTATACCATTTAATCATAGTTGTCCTCTACCTATGTGCAACGACAATGCCATGCTTATGCTGGTTTCAATGATGGGCATGAAATCGTGAAAATATTCACGGATATTATATAGTGGAAGATACCTAGGTTCAACACAAGGTTGTCTGAATGAACAGGTTCAAATGTTAAGAATGAGGAAGACTCACTCACCCGTACAAACCAAGTCCGTTTGTGACCAAGTTCCATCAGACAGGCACCATGATGTTCCGTTCCCCTGTGAAGAATAACCTTCAATGCAGAAGGTGTTGGCTTCGGAACCATATGTTGTGTTGGTGTAGTCGACCACGGCGCCGTCCTGATGTGGCGGGAAGCCGCAGTCTACAACTGAGGTCATCCATCAGGTCACATTGGTTATAGACGATTGCAGTTAGTATATTTTATTCATAATCAAACATCGTGTTGTATTCAGTAAATAAGTATTATCTGGTCGTGAGTGATATCCAGGGGAAACGTTATGTGAACAGCAACGCCTTCACAAAGACACAGCATAGTTTGCCCCCAACTAATTACTGAAGTTGCAGAGGCATTATGTGAATTACTTCTTATTTGTGTCTGTCGTGAAGATTTCCCACATATTCTGGGTGTTGTTTTTACATTCTTTATTTTTTATTTCAAATCACGAACTATGAAGGATCTTTTTAATAATATAAGTTCTCATTTAATTATTGCATTTTTAAAAGAATTAGATTTGTTAAATGATTTGTAAATAGATAAATATACTCATGCCAATAATGGTTGTCACCCCTTCAATTCTTTTTATTGGAGAGGGGTTTGGGGATGAGGGGCGGGGTTGGGTTGGGGTGGGGGGTGGGTAGGGGTTGACAACCATTATTGGCATGAGTATATTTTATTATTGGTAGTTTAGATTAGTATCTGAGATTGTTAGTGGTTGTACGCTCAAAGGGGCTTGAAATATTGTAAAATGATTGTCCTCCTGAGAGGGTACATAGTCCTAAATCAATTTAAATCAACCCAACCTTTTTAATCGTAGAATATGTGTGTTTTTAAATATATGGCTAAATGTGTCTAAACCGCTAACGGCTGAAGGGATGGTGTCAATCCAGCTAGGCTCCATTCAGGAAGCAAATGTACTGTAAGTCGCTCCTTTGTCAGGACCATAATCTCGCACATTTGTTTCACCAAAGTTTCAAAGTTTCACCAAAGCTGGTTTACAGTGTTAAATTCCCTATCATTTGATGCGTTTACCTACAGTAAGCTGACGCGCCGCTCTACGAAAGAAATGTGCAAATCATCGCGAAACTGAGTGGCCTGTACATCAGTTTATAGTTATTTCTTACATAGTCATCTGATTGACAATCTAACAGAAAAATGAAACTCATCTTCCATTTACCACAGACAGAAAAGAACGTAAGGTCAGGTGAAAAACGACAGCACGCTTCGCTGGGGATTTGGGGGGGGACTGAAGATCAACACAAACTGCCCTTCCTTGATGTAACGCTCGACAAGTCATCCAACAAGATCACTCCCTCTGTCTATAGAAAACCAACACACACGGACCAGTATATTCACTATCTATCCAACCATCACCCACAAATCAAACGAGCCGTAGTTTCTACCCTAACCAAACGTGCCAAGGCTATCTGCGACCCAGCACAACTCCACAATGAAATTGACCACCTGAAAACGACCATCATCACCCTCAACGGATATCCCAAGAAACGTGTAGAGCGGACTATAACCACCACCCTACAGCCACAAAATCACAGGCCGCCCAAAACCGAACCAGCTCCCATCCGAATCAATATTCCTTACCAAGGCCAGATTAGCCATCACATCAGTCGAATACTTAGAAAAACTGCCAGTGTTGATGTGACATTTTATTCCGACAAAACCTTAAAAACCATCCCGAGAGCGAATGGAAGAGGAGAACCCATTCCAAGAGGATGTGTCTACAAAATTAGTTGTGATTGTGGAAGCAGCTATATTGGAGAAACATGTCGGCCCTTCAACATAAGACTAAAAGAACATAAAACTTCAGTTGGAAAATCTGATCTCAAATCTGCCCTCTCAGAACACATTGTTAACAATCCCAACCACTCGATCAACTGGCAACACACCGAAATCCTGGCTTCCAACAGCAGCAGTTGGCGCAAAATGAAAACTGTGTGAGTCAATCAGCATAAGAAGATTAGTGCCTGAGATCAACAGAGATCAAGGGGTTTACCTCCCCAGTGCCTGTAGTGCCTGAGATCAGCAGAGATCAAGGGGTTTACCTCCCCAGTGCCTGTAGTGCCTGAGATCAACAGAGATCAAGGGGTTTACCTCCCCAGTGCCTGTAGTGCCTAAGATCAACAGAGATCAAGGGGTTTACCTCCCCAGTGCCTGTAGTGCCTGAGATTAACAGAGATCAAGGGGTTTACCTCCCCAGTGCCTGTAGTGCCTGAGATCAACAGAGATCAAGGGGTTTACCTCCCCAGTGCCTGTAGTGCCTGAGATCAACAGAGATCAAGGGGTTTACCTCCCCAGCGCCTGTAGTGCCTGAGATCAACAGAGATCAAGGGGTTTACCTCCCCAGCGCCTGTAGTGCCTAAGATCAACAGAGATCAAGGGGTTTACCTCCCCAGCGCCTGGTTCATCACCCAGAAATCATAGACTCTCAAACTCTATCTGCTCTAACTACTCTGCTATGTAAACACACCCTTGACCTTATTGTAAACAACATACCCTATCCTTGCATTCTGCTCTTCGATCTCACTGCATTGTTTGTACATACTTAATTATACCTCCTTTTTCCCTTGTATATACTCAATTTACATATCTAGCTTCCTGTACATCTATATATATACTGTACTGTACACTATCACCATTATCCACCTGAAGAAGGGGCAAGAACTAGCCCAGAAACGTTGTGAAAAATATATCAAGAAGTTGTTATCCATAAGTCTTGTCTTGTATTACTACACCAACTTCTACATGCCTTTGAAGAACTTCCTATGCTAGTTTTTTAGGGTGAATAGTGAACTTACTTGTACAGTTCAAGTCAATAGTTGACCATGTAGAGTTATCAGTGCACGTGCTGATCTTTGACCCTCCGTAATCGTCATAACCTTCTCTACAAATGTAAGTTGCGGTAGAGTTGTATGAGGTGGACGTCACCGTCACATTTCGTTCCACCCAAGAAGGCGGTATGCCGCAATCAATCTCTGAAAAGGTAACCAGCTTGATATTTACTGCAGTAACAGAGTTTCTTAGCGAGTCCGGCAATGGGACGTCCGACCACTTTGACTCTTGGCAGTATGTTTCTATTTGCACTTGTGTATTTTTCTTACTGTTCAAAGGACAGTGAACACTATGTTATAGTATGACCAGAAATTATTGAGAATTTTAGGAATATGTTTAATTGGATTTCTAGTATAAACAACCTTGGCCAGCTATCAAGTGCTTGGTTTTATTCAAGAGAGACAACTCCGTTAATCCTTTTTCATTAGTTTGTGAAGAGTTATCCCACTTTGTTTACTTGCAAGCAGACGACATTTTCAGTGATCCTCAGTATGGATGATTTAGAGAAGAGGAAGTTGATTTTAGAGTATTATAACAAGGACATCAGATCAGCTGAAGTGATTTCAAGTAGAACAGGCATCCCTTTGTCCACTGTTTATCGTGTTTTGAAAAATATTGCAAATGGATATTGCATTGAGCAGCAGGGAGGCGCAGGTAGGCCCAGAAAATTGACAGGAGGCGGCTTGGTATTCTTGTTTCTAAGACTGAATGACTGACTGAGTTTAGTTTTACGCCGCTTTTAGCAATATTCCAGCAACATCACGGCGGGGGACACCAGAAATGGGCTTCACACATTGTGCCCATGTGGGGATTCGAGCCCGGGTCTTTGGCGTGACGAGCCAACGCTTTAACCACTAGGCTACCCCACCGCCCCCTTGTTTCTAAGAACAAACGAAGGAGTTTAGAAAACTTAAGGCTGGATATGATTGATAGAGAAACTGTGGCTGGCTGTAAGGAGACAATTAGAACTGAGCTGCATGCAATGGGTTGGCAGAAAAGTCGAGGAATTTCATCACCGATCATGAAATCTGAACAAAAGGAGCAAAGGTTGAACTGGTGCTTACCGCACAGAAAATTTAACTGGGACAATGTGATTTTCTCAAATGAAAGTTCTGTGTGGCTGTTTCCTAATACACTGAAATTCTGGACCAAACAAACTGAAAAACCTTTGTATCAGCGCCCAAAGTACAGTCCGAAATTTAACGTGTGGGGTGGCATATCTGTGTTAGGGGCAACCCCCTTCTGTGTATTTAAAGGGAATATGAACAGTGAGCGGTACACAGAGGGACATTTACTTCCATCTGCTCACGTGTTCTATGGACACTTTTTGATTTTCCCGCAGGACAACGACCCAAAACATCGTTCAAAGCATTCACAGGCCTGGTGTCGGACCCAAAATATGACATTATTAGATTGGCCAAGCTATAGCCCTGACCTAAATCCAATATAAAATGTTTGGGGACTTATGCAGGAAAGTGACAATAAGAAAAATCTGACAAATATTGCTGAAATGAAAGAAGAGGTGGTCCGATATTGGGACAGCATGGACCACGACTTTCTAACTTCTTTGATCAGTAGTATGCCCCGCCTCATTGAAGCCTGCATTGCTGCCCATGGTGACTTGACAAAATACTAACTGTTCACCTGTCTTTGAATCTGGAGTTATGTTCTGCTAATATTCACATTTAATACGTGAGTAATGAGTTAAAAAAATATAACATTTACAATCTTTAAATTCTCAATAATTTCTGGTTGTACTGTAACATGTGTCTATTATATTTTACCGTCATTTAACATCCAGAAGTTCAACATAGTTCGGCCTATATAATAGAACTGCCAACTGCATTTTAACTAATTTAACAAAGTTGTCATTTAATCAAAGTTATCCTCTATCTGTGTGCCACGGCTTTTGCGTGGCTTCATTCTGTTTTCAATGATGGGTTTGAAATCGTGAAATTATTCACGGATATTATAGTGCAGGATACTTTAGCTCAACACACGATTGCCTGAATGAACAGGTCCAAATTTTCAGGATGAGGAAGATTCACTTACCTGTACAAATCAAGTCCCTTTGTGACCAAGTCCCATTGGAGAGGCACCATGATGTTCCGTTCCCCTGTGAAGAATAACCTTCAATGCAGAAGGTGTTGGATTCGGCACCAAATGTCGTGTTGGTGTAGTCGACCATTTATCAGTTGAAAAGGAGCCTTCCTGATGTGGCGGGAAGCCGCAGTCTACAACTGAGACCAAGTCAGGCCCATGACTGTGAAGTAATAACCTTCAATGCAGAACGATCGGCAGAC